GGTTTTGGGGTTAGTTGTGTTGGATTCTTGACGTGGAGCTTAGGCGGTGTGGGTTTTGGGGATAATGTGTATACTGTGCGTGATTCAGAAGTGGTCTCGCCGGGTTGCTACGATGCTTCCTTGGTTAGTTATTCCGCTGATAGGACTGTGGGCGCTCTCTCAGCTTTTGCCGCCTGCATTTAGATTTGAGATTACATCACCCAGGCTTGCTTGTGTTTTTGTGCTTTTGGTTACCCTCTTTTGGTATGAGATTTTAATGCCTCAACTGTCAGCGTGGCGTGTGCGCAGAAACGCACGGCTTAGGGAGCGAAAGAGATTTGAAGCAATTGAGTTGCAGAAGCTAAAGAAAACGGCGACTAAACGGTGTCGAAACTGCTTGACTCCATACAAGGATCAAAATCCTGCTGGTGGTCGGTTCATGTGCTCCTGCTGTGGTCATATTTCTAAAAGACCAGTTCTAGACTTGCCTATACCACCGGGGTTCTCAAATTCTGGGATTATTAAGGAGCTTGTTGGAAAGAGTGGGAAATTGTTGAACCAGAGGGTATGGCCGGATAATGGGTGGATGTCTGGTCAAGATTGGTTGGAGAGTGGCAGTTGGGTTGGGAAGTCTGTTGCAGGCAATTCTGGTTATTGGAGGAGGAACGGGGGTGGTCTTTGCGGAGGAGATGAACATTGTTTGGCAGAAAAGTCTTATTCAGGTATTGTGATTTTCTGCTGTAGGCTTTTTACGTCTTTTTTCTTGAGCATTAGATGGCTTTCGAGAAAAATGTTTAGGATAAGTTCATCAGGAGACGACAATTTATCTGATTCTGAGCATAGGGGGCTATTGGCTAAGATGGGTGAGAACGGGGGTAGCTTCCCGGAGAGTCGAGTTGAAAAAGCCCGCAGAAAAGCTGAAGAGAAAAGACAGGCTAGATTAGAGAGAGAATTATTAGAGGAGGAAGAGAGGAAACAAAGGGAGGAGGTTGCTAGATTGGTGGAGGAACGGAGGAAGTTGAGGGACGAGATAAAGGGTGTTGAAAAGGATCGTGATAGAACATCACAACTTTACCGAGAGAAGGATGGGAAAAAGGAGGCTGAAAAGAAACGGCAGGAGAGGAGAAAAGAGAAGGACAGGAATTCAAGTAAGAGTAATTCGGATGTGGAAGAGTTGGAGAAGAAAATTGGTAAAGAAAGCGAATGTAAGCGAGATTTGAATAAAAAGAGTGATATTGATCGTCGTGAGAGTCAGAAACTTGGGCCAGAGAGTGCTAAAGGCCACGGCATTATGTGTCATACTGTAAAGAATGTATCTGGAAATAATTTTGGTCGAGGCTATGCTGGTTCTAGGTATCTTGATCGTATGCGGGGTACCTTTTTGTCTTCTTCTAAAGCATTTGGTGGTGGTAGTTTGTTTGGAAAGGTTTATAATGCCCCGGCTTCTGTTGCTAAAGACAAGCCTAACGGTTCTGTCGACCATGTAAATACGCCTGTTTCTACAAGAGATACGCCATCTGAGCGTGTGATTGGGAAATCTGCTTTGAATGGAGATGATAAGAACATCAACCATCCAGTAAGTTATATTGCTGTCTCCTTGCCCCAACCCAACATGTGCGTGTGCACACACAGAAACACTGTTTACCATATCGCATAAATGAATGACTTATGACTCTTTAAATGCATACAGTTCTTCAAGAATGTTTAATACGAAGCTTACTGATGTTTTTTGGTTTAAATTCTGTACTTTTTGAATTGTCATTATGGACTTTATGCTTCTATATTAAACAGAAGGCTTTCCATTTTTCCTCCTAAGCTTTTTCTACACGGCGGAGTTGGGAAAATATTCAACATCTGGATGCCATAGTTTTTCTTCTTTTTTATTGATATATCGAAATGAAGAGTGACAACGTGAAGTTCTCATGCTCACTGCAGGTATTCACCGAATCACGAGCGGCTGTAGCACCTAAAAAATCTTGGCAACAGTTATTTACCCGTTCGCCATCTGTTCCTTCAGCCACTAGTGCCAATGTTATAAGTAGGCCAGTAGTGAAGGCCTCGCCAGACATTAGCAATCCACAACTTTCGGGTCAAGTTATAGGCCCACAGTTACCTGGGCAAGTTTCTGGATCGAAGTTATCTGGGCAATCATCATCGACACAATCATATGATAATCCTATTAATTTTGGTCTGCCTTCACCGTTTACCGTTCCTACATATCCTAAGGGTCCTATAAGTAGTAGTTTAGGTTTTTCACCTGTAATTGAACCTCAATTTCCTCATGTTGCTGAAGGGTCCCATGAATGCATGCCTGAAGAACCAGAGCTTTTTGAAGATCCTTGTTACATACCTGATGTAGTGTCCTTGTTGGGTCCAGTATCCGAGTCGCTTGATGATTTTCGGATGGATGTAGGAACTGGCTTTGTATCAGAAATCGGAATGGAAAGACCACGGACTCTAAAGACCGCTTCTTCTGAAATTAACAAACCATCTCCAATTGAGTCGCCTTTATCACGGGAAAAGCATAATTGTTCTAATCATTTCCCGAGCACCCCCGTAGCCTTCGATCTGATAAGTCCTTGCAAGGATGCTATGAATGGAAATGATAAGGGAACATGGCAGATGTGGAATAGTTCACCCTTTGGTCAGGACGGTTTAGGCTTAGTAGGTGGCTCAGCGAGCTGGATTCTTCCTGCTGAATCTAATAGACTAAATAAGGAAGAATTTTTCCAGCCCCCTCAGAAAACTGTGCCACCAGCATTCATTAAAGAAGATCATGTTTTGCCTGGCACACTTTCTTCTCAGAATGTGTTTCTTGATAATGGCCAAAGTGTTGGGACGTTTAACCCGGTTATGGGCTGTGATCACGATCCGTGGTTAAAGAATCCTTTCTATCTGCCATTGTCTAGAAGTGAAAACAACTTCCCTGTTATGCCTCAGGATGAATCTGTTCCAAATGAAATGATATATGGTAGCCCCAGCATCAGATCTTCCACTGGTCATCCATTCGATCTGCCTGCAACTAGCTGTTGGCCAAAGTAAGTCCTTCGATTTATGTCGTCTGAATTATAATTTTGTTACTCTTTTGTGATTGGTTGTCTTAATTGTATAATTTACACACGGCCTATAAAATATTTGTGCTGGGCTTGCATATAAACATGCCTTCATTTTAATTTCACCATAATTTGTTTTACCTTGTTGATCTGAACAGCTTAGAATCTAAAAGTAATATCAACTAAGAGAGCTTGAAAAGTTCTGTATGATTGCTTTTTTAATATTAATCACTGGCGTTTTAAGTTCGTGCTTGCATTTCAACATATTCTTCCTTTAGGAATGTTCTCGTTGTGGAGATATGTGATTTAATTAAGGATAAATCCTACTGGTTTCTTTTCATGTAAATCATATAATTCTCGAATTTATTCTAGGGAGTAGTACTAAAACGGAAAATGTAGTAAACAATTTCTCGTGTCTGTCGAGATTTGATTGGTGGTAATAGTGCAAAAATCATCAAATGGTGATGGGTGCAAAAGAAAAAAAAAAACCATATGAGCTCGTTGTATGAGTGATGGTTCTTGTGGATACGTAGCTCTATGATTTTAGTTCGTTTGTTTGTTTTTGTTCAACAACATAGAGAGGAGGGTTCAAACTAACCGTTGAGAAATTCTAGGTTTAAGACATGTTTTAACTTGTTAAACTATGCTCAAGTTAGACAAATATGAATTTAGATTGACGAATATGAATTTAGCTTGACGAATATTCCTAAGAATGATTCTACACAATAGGGAAAAGGACAATTTTCTTAATCTTGTTTACTGATGGTGAAGTATCTTGTGGCAGTGAATGGGATGCACAAGGCGCAGCAGGGATTGGTGCTGGAAAGCCATCTGTTGTGAAGCCGCCGCCTGTTGGGGGTCTATTTCCGGCACCAGATGTACAGTCACTGTGGTCTTTTGATATGAAAACGGACACTAACACTATAAAAAAAGGGACTTCTTAAAAAAAAAAAAAAAAAAAAAAAACACGACTCCTGTTCTCCACAGGCAAATAGTCTGTTTGTTGAGATAGGGAGAGTTTAGAAGAATACTGGAAATCCAATGTCTGTCATGGTCGTCGTCGTCATCCTCTCCTCTTGTTAGGGAGATCGATGTTTACTTAGAGTAGCACGGATAGGAGTACTCGTAACATGCTTTTGTTTGTGCATCAGGTAACTACTGCTAGGGGTCATCATCCATATATATTCATCAACATATTTTAAAGTTTCTATAACACTAGCTAGAGAGGAGGAGCCCCCATCCCCCCTTTTTGAGGAAGAAAAAAATTTGTTCATTGGAGCTATATTCCGTTGCTTTCTTCATGCCTTCACTAATTACTGGATGCCATCTCAAAGATTTGTGTAATATATCTCATTTGGTCATCGAATCGATGGCTCGACCTCTGTTATATATACGCTCGCTTTTCTTTTCTGAGCATGGAACCTACCATCTGAATCCAAAAACTCCTCACCTGTATACTTTTTGTTTTTAATGTAGTTTTCAGTTGCTTTGTAGATGGGATTTTATCATTCATTTCCCCTTATGAAGCTTTTGATTCCTGTGCTCTGATACTATTTGATTACCTTTCAATGTACCCTCTGTCGAATTTCAAATACAAAAGTTGATTGATTGGAAGACGAATAAATTCGACTCGGTGGCTTTTGGCCACTCGAAAATTCTGGTTAATTCAACGGTATGATTGATTAACTTATCATCAGATTAATAAGATTGAGTCTGAAAATTTGTTTGGAGTGTTTGTTGTGTGTAGGCGTCTGTAGATGCATCTTCAGATTCGACTTTAGCTAAGATTGATCTTTCTCTAGTGGTGGCTGGTGCTTCTGATTCGATATCTTCAAGAATTTAGTTAAACAGGTGCACTTATTGAAGGAAAGCCTTCCGACCCGGAAGAGGACTATTCCATTGGTTCGGATTGGGAAAGGGCGGACATTGATCCTCTCGTTTAACCCTCGAAAGAGCAATTGCCGGGGATAACGGGACAAAAACTCTCTTTTTCATCTCTTACCAACAAACATCACCGTAGTCTTTCATAAAACAAAATAATTTGGAGAAACGAACCCTACAATAATCAATCCTAAATGCATAAATAATCCTAAGCAGAAATTGAAGGTTCACACAAGTGGAGTCGGTAAAAGAATCAGTCTTAAATATACACTTATTCACATCATCAACTGCTACTCAACATCATTTGAGGATAGGGGTGGGCTTCTTCCTCTTTTGATTATCGTTCTGCTTTCCCAAGAACGGCAACCGACCAGCCATTCCCGATTTCTTCCGCTTCCTGCTCGATTGATTCCGATCACTTCCCCGCCATTCGACCTTCACACAGTTCGACATATCCCGACTCTGTTTGCCGAGCATCTGTGCCAACGACACCTTCCCCTTCAAGAATCCTTTCTCCGCCACCGTCCCCGACGGCATCAACTCTTCCTGCAGAAACAGCTTCCTGCTCAGTATCTGTCCTATTGAAGGAGGGGCGGCGGCTTCATGTCCAACCAGCTTTTGTCTACGATACTCCATGTTCTTACCGTACTCCCACCCCCATTTCTCCGCCGCTTCTTCCCTCTTCGCAGCCTCCATGCTGTTCAAAACCTCTTCCAGTGCAAATTTCGTGCTCTTGATTTCCTCCGTCGCTTCTTTCACCTGTTTCAAGATTTTCCCTTTTGATTCAGCCGTTCTTATCTTAGCCGTTCTTCTTTCAATCTTCGATACTGTTCTCAAAATCTCAGCCTTCGCTGTTTCCCCCATTTTCCTAAACTCCTCAGCTTCAGAATTCAAAATCTGCAGCTCCTTCAGAATTTCATTACCATCTTCTTCATCCATGTTGGAATCCTTCGAAGCTTGCAGCCTCTGCCTCGTTTGACTCAATCTCTCCTCAACGGATGACATTTTCAAAGAATTCTGCTTCAATCTCTCCCGGATTCTCTCTAATTTCTTGTTGAATATCTCCATTGAAGCTCGAATTTTGTAGATCCCTTTTGAGGTTCTGCTAAGATCCCTCTCTGCCTGCTTGAAATCTTCCACAAATTTGACGCTTTTACCCTCCTTCGGATACCCAATGTTTTCCTTATCTTCTTCAGATATCTCCTTCCGGATCTCCATTTTCAAATCCTCAACAAATGTTCTTGTCGATTCCAGTTCTTCTAGAAGATCCAGAGTTTCCTTCTTCTTCAAAATCAGATCATTTTCCAGCTGAGTTGCCTGCTCCTCCAGCTTTTCAATGGTGATCTCTTCCACTTCATGTTGCTGATCCAAAAAAATTTAAAAATTAAAAAAAAAAAANAAATTTAAAAAAAAAAAAAAAAAAAAAAAAAAAAAAAAGGATCAGGAGTTAAGGTTTGTGTGTATTTACCCAATACTCACCTCGTTTTCGAAGGGCTTATTAGAAGGTTTCCAGTAGCCAACTCCACCAAAACGACAGACAGCTTCCTTAACCGATTCGAAAGGAGCCGACATGTCGATTTCAGCTCTCACATCAGATTTTGCCCCATAAACTACTTGCGATTCATCCATGGAGCTTTCCGCAGCTAAAACGACAGCGTCAAGTAGTTGAAACTCGACAAGAAAGGTTGTTGGCTATGTGGTTCGACGTTTTCCGGTAGTTTGTGGAGTAAAAAAATTACCAAGACTTGAAGCTTCCCAGAAAACTGCAGGGTTTTAAGGAGGAGAAAGAAGTTTAAAGTAAAAAGAATTGAATGTTTGAAGCCTGTGGGGCCCACGTCTTCAACGGCAACATATATGCCAACGGCTTTCAAACACTTTCTTTTTCCCCCCTTCCTGTTGACCGTTTGAAGCATTTTACATCGTACAAGAAGCTTATAAAAAAATCATTCCTTATAATTTAATTTTTTTTTTTTTATAAAATTACAAATTTGAGAGAAATTATACTTTACACCTTAAATTCAAATACTATACTCGATCACAATCGCACCTTTGCGATAACGAAACAGTGATTATACGACACTTATTCTAACAAAACGAACAACTCAGTCGTGAAAAATTCAAACATCAAGAATAATGTTAGTGTATATTCAGACTTCGAGTCACATTACGAAAAATGATTTAGAAAATGTGAGTAAGAAAAATACATTTGAAAATAATTTGAATAATTGAAGAAAGCAGGGTTATATGACTACAAGCAATACAAATTTAACCTCTACCTTTTAGGAAATTATACTTTACCTTAAATTAATTAACTTTAAAAAAAAAATTAAATAGCCTTGAAAGTTGAATTAGTATACTCTATAAAAAGCCCTAGTGAAACAGGCCGGCCCATTAAAGTAACAAAACTTTACGTAGGCCCACATTCACATCTCAGCAAACTAAGTGCTTCCCATCGTGGGCCACATACAAGCTTCGGCCCATTATTGTAAAAGCTTTACTTAGGTCTACATTCACATCTAAGCAAACTTGGATCAAAATTTAGGAAAAATAAAAGGAAATTTAAAATTTAAAAACAAAAAGTAAAAAGAAAAAGGAATCTCGTGTGGATTAAATGGTATATAAACTCAAAAAAAAAAAAAAAAAAAAAAAAAAAAAAAAACCCAACAATTTTGTCTCTTTATAATAAAAAAAAAAAAAATCCGAGAGAAAATGAACAAATGAAACTCTCCAATTCAAGAATTATTGGTGGTATCTCTAAGTATCAAATTCTTCCTCCTCCGCTTGATGAAGTAATAGCCAAGGCCTCCACAAACAGCGACAATAACCAACCCATCAACCACGCCCACCACCGCAAGAACCCATTTCTTCAACCCCGACTTCCGCCGCTCCAACGCCGTCCCTTTTGGAACCTTAACCATATAGCTGAACCCCATCCCCTTCTCAATCTCCTTAACCCCCATCACCAATCTATACAAATAGCACTCCTCTCCGCCGCCAACGCCGCCATCGCCACCGCCGGAATAATGCAAAGCCGCCGCACATTTACAATCCTCCAAACACCAATTCCCACATTCCCGTTTACTTAAATTCACTCTATTAGGAGCATCACGTAAAATACTACTTATTCCCTCTAATTCAACCATCTCCCCTTCAATTCCCCCACAAAATTTCCCACTAATTTCGTCGCTACACTTCGAACTATCCCCCTCATTCTCCACTTGAAATGTAATGCAAGAACAGGAATTAGAAAACGTACAAATCCCGTATGGTTTACAAGCAAGAGGAAGATCACAAGTGGTTTTTAATGCTCGATTTGAAGCTTCGAAAATACCCTTTTGTGGGGAGTAATAATAAAGCCCAAGATTACCACTTTTGTTCCCTAACGCTACAAATCTCAATGGCTGAGCCGTTCCTGATGGGATTGCTGCAATTTTCATGGCTTGATCGTTGAAGATATCCAAGCCGTCGGTATTGAGCGTTATGAATGAGAGGTTCATGTTCTTGGGAGGCTTGAATTCCCAATAAGAATATTTGGATTTGGCTGAGTTGAGAAACAGAGCAAGTTTTTGAGCTTGGATTTCGAATGAGTAAAAAGAGGTTGAATTTGGTGGGAAGGATGTTAAATGGGTGGCGACGTTTAAACTCTGCCCTAAAAGAAGAACGTCCGTTGGGAAATTGAAGCTTTGCCATTTAACGCCGTCCAATGCATCCACCAACGCCAAATTTCCACTCCTCAAAATTCTCAGTTTCTGCATCGATTGAACAAACAGAGTCATATTCAAATTCAACAACGGTTTGATTACAAAACGACATCGTTTTAATGTTCTATGTACCTCCACACCTTGTCCGGCAGTCCCCGTCCGCCACCCGACATGACCGGTTGGTCCTTTGAGTCTCAAGTCGCCGTCGTCAGTGAGCTCAAGGACGCATTTCTCCGCCGTGAAAAACCGGGAGAAGTGACCGGAGCTCCAAACCTTAACTTCTCCGAGAAAAACCTGCAACGAACATGAAAAGTTACCCTGCGTAGCTTCGACTGTTAAAGCTGCTCGGAAATTGGGCGGCGGTAAATGCTCCGTTTCAATTAAAAATGCCCTTCCGATAAACCCTTCGCCGTACTCCGCCGGCACTGCCAGAGTAACATCGTGACCAGGAACGATATCGGTTCTGCAAATCGTACGATCCAGATTCAACAAAAGAAGAACAAAACAAATCTGAGCCGCAGAAGCTACCTTCATAGAGGAAATTACAGGAAAAAAAATAAAAAAATTTCTGGGAAATGGGTATTTCGAAGAAGAATCATTAGAATTTTCCGGGAAAATTTGAGTGAAAGAAAGGAAAAGAAAAGAGAAACATGAAGATGGTGGCGTGGGGAAGGGCGACAGGATTCCACATCCCACTCCAAAAAAGGGTCAGAGCTTTCATTTGGGCTGCTATTGTAATGTTGAAATGTTAGTGGATTCATTAATTGCACCAAACTATTATTAATTATTTTTTATCCATAATTGTTAAAGTAAATTCCAGCCGTAATTAAAGCCATCTTTCCCTACAGCCTGTCCATGTGACACATCTTTTTTTTTTAATTTATTTTTTATTTCATTTTTTTGGAGTTAAATTTGCATCATAATCTATAACCTATGCTTTTAATTTGATAATATTTGTATTTATTCAAACTTCTACAATTCTATTCATGGTTTCTAGAAATTTTAGGTAAAGAATGAAATGGAAAACCTAATTTTGCACTGTATACTAAATTAAATTGTTTTTAGCGAATATATTATAATATATTCTTGACAAATAAATTAATAGTTTATAAAAAATGTTTATTACACTTTTCTATTAAAAAGGCAATCGAGAAAATATATATATTTTTCTTTTCATTTTTTATATGTTATTTATTCGGACTTACTCGTTGAGTTAACTTCGAACCAAATTAAATTTTTAATTTTAAAAAATTCAACCCAACCCAACCCAAATCGAAATAAAAATGTAATCCAACTAAACTCTTATAGTTTGAGTTGATTGATTCACTAGGTTAGATGAACGTCGTTAGTTGTAGTTAAACTGAGTATTTAGAAATGTTCATTTAACGCACAAAGCCGAGCCTTGTGAAGATTGGCTACGAAATGGGACATAAAGGGAGGGGAGGAATTTTTTCTCTTTAGCTAAATGGGATCGTCTGTTTTTTTATAAATAAATATATAATAATAAATAATTTTTTTATATATATTTTAGTTGTGGTATATAAGGTTTTGAGACTATATTCAATAATTTTTAGGTAGAAGACTATTCTATAATATTAAATTTTATTTAAAAAAATTATATCGTAAAAGCGTTTTTAATAAAAATTATATAGTAAAATAGAAATTATGTATTAAAAAAATATATTCAGAGCCAATGTCATACAACACAAGCATTATTCTTCCTTTTCATAGTATAATATGAATGTCATGCATGCCTAAAGGTATTTAATAATGTAGACTCCCACTTATAAGACAATATATTATTTATTGTTTAAAAATAAATTTAAATACATAGATATTCATTGACGATATTTTAAAATAAATATAAATTTGCAAATATTTTTATATTTATCAATTATAATGTGAAGTTGAAGGCCAAGGAAATTGGTTCCCAACGCAAAAGGAGGGAGAAAAGAGAGTGGGAGTGGGTTAAGAAAGGGATCCACGTGGGACCAAACCATAAAATAAGAGCCCGGAGTTTGCTGACTCGACAGCGACTTTCTTCGTAGTGGGCTGCCTCTTTCCTTCACTCCCATAATTTGATGCTATAGTTGTCTGCCACGTTTCGGGTCCACGTGTGACTCACTCTTTGATGACTTGATTCTCACGTTTCTCTGACGTCTGATCTTCCACGTCAGCTCCCTAATTGGGCTGATTCTGGGCTTCAACTATCAACACCGACAGTCTGGGCTCAAATCTAGCCTGCTCTGCTTATTTTGGGCTGGCCCAATTTTTAATAAATGGGCCAATGAGTCTTAATTTGGGCCCAAAATATTCACTTCTTGTTTATTCCAATAAGAGACTTTGTCTCCACTTCTAACCATTTAATAATATATGAATCCAAAGAACATATAATAAAAAAATGAATTTGAGTTGAGAGTGATGTTGATTGGGAATCCGACAGTGAGTTGTTCTATAATTGCATTCATAATGATCTCTTACTTCACCTGCTGCGTCGTTTAATTAAAAGTGGGGTCTTTCAATTAAAATGATTATTTAAAAAATTATAATAAATAAGATAACTAACAAATTTAGTCCTTAAACGTTTAAACTCGAGTTCAAAAGATTTTTAATTTTTTTAAAAAAAATTGTTAAGAATCACGATTCTCCACAATAATATGATATTGTTCATTCTCATGTCTTTGATTTGAGCTTCCCCAATAAGCCTCATAGCAATTGAGATAGTATTCCTCACTTATAAACTCACAATCTAAGGTAGGATTCACTCTCAATAATTCTCAACAATCCTCCCTTTTAACAAAGTACATTACAAGTCTTCCCTTAATCGAGAATCGACTCATTTCTTCGGAGCCCTCGAACCCTGCTTCCATTATATTACATTACATTAAATTAAATTAAATTAAATTAGAACAAGAACACAAAAAGTTAACAAATAAAATAAAGAAAAGAAAAAGGACAGAAAAAAGAGAGTCGGAAAGGCTAGCTTTCATCTGCCCATGATTTCAACCACATTCATTCTCTCTCTTTCTTCATATTTCAAAATTATTTCAATCTCCAAATTATATTATTCGAAAATTTTAAAGAA